CAATGCCTGTTCTCCACGTTGAGAAGGAGCTCGCTTGACCTAGTGCCTGTTCTCCACATTGAGAAGGAACTCGCTTGACTCAGAATGCCTTTTCTCTGTTGAGAAGCTCGCTTGACTTATAAATGCCTTTCATTTATGACCTTTGAGGCTCGTGTTTCTTTCTGTTAAGTCAGCCGGTATTCTGCATTCTCTTGTGGTTCTCTCATCATTTCCTTAGTTATTTTGAACCTCTGGTAAGTCCAAGAGGGCCCTGTCTACAGCCCCTTTTCCCTGGAAAGCTCTCAAATGTCTGTTAGCTCCTGCTAATGTGAGTGGGGTCCCTGTGGGAGCATGCGTCATTTCTTGTCAGTTACACTAATGACCGTCCCCTGGAAACCACAGAGCTCTTCCTACTGGTGACTGCCCTGGGCTTTAGAGCCACGGGCCAAAGCCAGGACTGCCTGCGTTTGAATCCAGTGACAGGTGACCCTTGTCAAACCACATAGCAAGTTAAAGCGAGGCTCAGCTGAGAGAGAAGCTGTGCGTGTGCTTTTTGAAGACAGAGCATTGTGCAGACGTCATGGGTGATGGTGACATCATCACCAGCAATGGCAGTGGTGGTGGCCCAGGGTTTGGGCCCAGAGCCCCCTAAGGGTAGGGGCCCTGTTTTGTTCCACACTGCATACCCAGCTCCTAGCATAGGGTCTAGTACGTAGTAGGTGCTCAGTAAAGGTTTGCTGAGTGCATGAACATAGACGTAACTGAGCACCATACAGAGCAGAATGCGATCAGCACTGTGTGTTTCCGTTAGGCGAGAGTCCTCACTATTTTGGAATTAACAGGTGATAAGGGAGTTCTTTGAGGCTGTTTTTCACCCTTAAGCTGTGTCAGAGGGGCTGTGGAATTTCACAATGAAATGCTCAGGCTCTGGAGTCAGACTGCCCGGGTTCGAATCCCACCTTCTGTAAAGCCCTGTGGCCTTGGCCAAGTTACTTGACCACCCTGTCTCAGTTCCCTCTCCTGGAAAATGGGGACAATAATCTGTGCTTCATGGGGTTGTTATAAGGATTAAGTAAGTTAATACAGGAAGAGTTTAGAACAGCACCTGGTATATAGTAGACACTCAATACATGTTGACTGTTACAATAGTAATAAGAGTAATTATTACTAGCATTAGTGTTTATTGTTACCGTCATTATTGTCGTGGGGGCTTGGATCATTGGAGGAGTTGAGTGTGGGGATGATGATCTGCTGGGCAGCTCCCGGACATTCTCTAGAACCGTCCGCAGCAGATAGTGGCTGTCAGCTGGCTTTAGCATCCCTGGCCCCACTGCCTCTGTCCTTTAGGAGCCCCCGCTCTGAACAGGCTGACCTCGTCCTGCCAACACTCTCATTTGACTGGCTTGGGTCAAGACTTCTAAAGTGCATTTCCGGATGGCCCGGCCCCGCTGTCTCCTTTGGGACTCCCTCTGCCCTGAGAAGGGAAAGCAGAGGAGACAGTGTGAGAGAAGCAACGCTTAGTGCCAGTGACCTCTAGGTACTTTACACATACTGGCCAAGTGAGTCTTCTCAGTTACTCTGAGACGGTATCACGTACCACGTGATGAGCACCCCGTCCACAGCCCCAGGCTGGTGCGGAGATGCCCCCGCTGCTCTGCCTTGATTCCACGCCTCCCGTGGCTTCAGGTGGCCCACCCTGCACGTGGTTCCCATCTCTTCCCTCTGGTTCTGGCCTGGGGAAGCCCGTACCCTCTTCTCCCCGCAGTATCTTCCGGACCTGCCCCTTTGCTGTCATACCTGGCATGTTCACGAGCCAGCTCTAGGGACCAGCCCTGCTTCCAGGTTGCAGTGAGCTCCCCGTGTTCTCTGCACAACCAGGCCCAGGCCCCGAGGCTCACCTGAGGCCAGAGCCTGACGGAGGGGTCGGCAGTGCCAGAGAGCGGAGGGTGACCCAGGCAGGAGAGGCCCTGAGGTGTCGGGGACAGGTGATGTAGCTGCAGAGGCCGTGGGGCTGCACTCCGGAGTTGAGTCTCGACCCTTCAGTGGTGGGGCCTACCAGGGAAGGGCTTTGTAAGGAGCTAGTCCCTCAGATGTGTATCTTCCAGAGGTAGCTGTGGCCCTGCGTAGGATTCATTCAGAAGCAAAGTTGCCCTTTGAGATAATCCATTCATAGATTTATGTGGCTGTTTTCTCTAAATCTGTGATGGTGGCTAGCCTTATCCCTTGTAACTGATAACAACTGAGATGCCATTTGTCCTGTTTTTGTAGATGGGAATTTCCTAGCAATTGGTTCTCATGACAACTGTATCTATATCTACGGAGTCAGCGAGAATGGGAGGAAGTACGCCCGAGTTGGCAAGTGCTCAGTAAGCGTGCTCCTTGTTTTCATGAATATGGGTGCGTCTGTTGAATTACCTCAGTGTGGTGCTGGAATCTAGGTGAGCGAGCTCACGGCCCTCTTCTCTCCCCAGGGTCATTCCAGCTTCATCACTCACTTGGACTGGTCGGTAAACTCACAGTTCCTCGTGTCAAATTCAGGAGACTATGAAATCCTTTACTGTGAGTAGCTCCCTAGGAGTTGTCTGGGGTTCGGGTCGCATAAAACGTCTCCTGCTGTAACATCCTACTTCCGTTTGACTGGGCATGTGGTGCCGTCTCTGGCCTTGGTTTCCTCCTCTGTAAAATAGGGCAGTTGGGCTGGACCACTTCTTGGGTCCTTCCTTTAGGTCTGGGCTGGCCATGGGCCCTTGGGAAGGAGATGAGCACCCACCCCAAGAAGGAAGAAGGGAGGGTCTACCCCTATGTCCCTGAGGTAGGACCAGGCTCACCCAGCTTTCTCCTAAGGAGGAAGAAGGCAGGGTCTACCCCTATGTCCCTGAGGTAGGACCAGGCTCGCCCAGCTTCTTCTCAAGGAGGAAGAAGGCAGGGTCTACCCCTATGTCCCTGAGGTAGGACCAGGCTCACCCAGCTTCCTCTCAAGGAGGAAGAAGGCAGGGCCCTGCAGAGAGAGGCTGGAGGTGGGCAGATGGGGCAGAAAGAGAGTGGGCCAGAGCCATCACATGAGGGGCCCTCGCTTTGTAAAGGCAGCACACCATGTAGGTGAGGCCCTGACATCCCTCCCACGCGGCTGGACAGCAGCTCCCCCAGCACCTTCCTCCTTTCTCCCGACGCTCCCCACCAGTCTCTGTCCCCAGGCAGGACCTGGGACCCTGAGGATGAATGACTGGCACTCACTGAGCACACACTGCATGCCATCCACGGAGTCCGCAAACATTTGCCAAGCGCCTGCCACATGCCAGGCTCGGGGCTAAGCACAAGGCCACAGGGCCTGAGAGGCCGGCCTCCACCCCACGAGAAATGCTGAAAAGTTCAGCATCCTCACCTGCATGTTGTCTCATCCACAGCTTTTCCCCTTTACAGATGAGGAGATGGGGGCTCAGGAACCAGGCTATGGGTATCAAGAGCCAGTGGGTGGGGAGGAGGCCACACTTACTTGGGGCCTGTCATTCACTTATTGATGACCTCGAGACGGGCAGGGCTACAGGTCTGCACAGCATATCCCCTGACTAAGCCCCCCTCCAGTGGGGAAGGGGCCACATGGTCTCCTCTTTCCTCCCTTTCCAAGGTCCTGCTGGTTTTCAGGGACAGTTCTGGGTCTGGAATCTTCTCAGACACAGTCTCATATTCCACTAGTGAGAGCTCATTTGTAGAACAAACGAACCACCTGGGAACTTGGTGTGACTGGTTTCCGTACACTTCCATTCCTAACTCGGAGCTGGAGGAAGTGGAGGGTGTGTGTGTTGTTTATGTGGGGGGTTGTTTATGTGGGGCGGTGTGGTTGTTTTTGTGAGATGTGAGGTATGTGTGGTGTTTATGTGGCGGGGTGTGGTGTTTATGTGAGATGTGGGGAGTGTGTGGTGTTTGTGTGAGATGGGGGGGGTGTGGTGTTTATGTGAGATGTGGGGTGTGTGGTGTTTATGTAGCGGGTGTGTGGTGTTTATGTGGCAGGTTTATGTGGGGCAGTGTGGTGTTTTTGTGAGATGTGGGTGGTGTTTGTGGTGTTTATATGAGATATGTGGGGGGTCTGTGTGGTGTTCTTGTGGGGTGTGAGTGGTATTTATGTGGGGGATGTGTGGTGTTTATGTGGGGGATATGTGGTGTTTATGTGGCGGGGTGTGGTGTTTATTTAGGGGGTGTGTATGTGGAGGGAGTATGTGTGTGGTGTTTAGGTGACGGGGTGTGGAGTGTGTGTGGTGTTTGTGGGGGGTGTTTGTGTGGGAGGTGTTTATGTGAGGTGGTTGTGTGTAGTGTTTATGTGTGGTATTTATGTGAAGGATATGTGTGGTATTTTATGTGGGTTTATATGTGTGTGGTGTTTATGTGGGGTATGTGGTGTTTATGGGGGGTGTTTATGTGGGACGGTGTGGTGTTTATGTGAGATGTGGGGGTGTGTGTAGTGTTTATGTGTGGGGTGTTTATGTGGGGCGGTGTGGTGTTTGTGAGATGTGGGGGTGTGTGTGTAGTATTTATGTGGGGGGGTGTTTATGTGGGGCGGTGTGGTGTTTATGTGAGATGTAGGGGGTATGTGGTATTTACGTGGTAGGGTGTTGTCTTAGTCATCTAGTGCTGCTATAACAGAAATACCACAAGTGGATGGTTTTAACGAAGAGAAGTTTATTTCCTCCCAGTAGAGTAGGCTAAAAGTCCAAATTCAGGGCATCAACTCCAGGGGAAGGCTTTTTCTCTCTGTTGGCCTTCTTCTCTTCGGTGTTCCCCGAGACTAGGAGCTTCTTTGCGCAGGGACCCCGGTCCAAAGAATGCGCTCTGCTCCCGGCACTGCTTTCTTGATGGTATGAGGTCCCGCATCTCTCTGCTCACTTCTGTCTTTTATATCTCAAGAGATTGCCTCAGGACACAATCCAGTCTTGTCAATTGAGTCCTGCCTCACTAACACAACTGCCACCCATCCTCCCTCATTAACATCATAGAGGCAGGATTTACTACACATGGGAAAATCACACAATACCCGGAATCATGGCCCAGCCAAATCAACACACACATTTTTGGGGGGACAAAATTCAATCCATGACAGGTGTAGTGTTTGTGTGAGATGTGGGGGGTATGGTGTTCATGTGGGGTGTGAGTGGTGTTTATGTGGGGGGTTGTGGAGTGTGTGTGTGGTGTTTATGTGGGGGGGCATTTCTGTGGGGGGGTGTTTATGTAGGGGGGTTCATGTGGGGTGGTTGTTTGTAGTGTTTCTGTGTCGTATTTATGGGAAGGATATGTGTGGTATTTTATGTGGGTGTGGGGGGGGCTGTTTATGTGAGGTGGGGGGTGTTTATGTGGTATGGTGTTTATGTGAGAAGTGGGGGGGTGTAGTGTTTATGTGGGGGGGTGTTTATGTGGGGTATGTGGTGTTTATGTGGGGGGTGTTTATGTGAGATGTGTGGGGTGTGTGTAGTGTTTATGTGGGGTATGTCGTGTTTATGTGAGATGTAGGGGATATGTGGTATTTACGTGGTAGGGTGTGGTGTTTGTGTGAGATGTGGGGGGTGAGTGGTGTTTATGTGGGGGGTTGTGGGGTGTATGTGTGTGGTGTTTATGTGGGGGGCATTTCTGTGGGGGGGTGTTTATGTGGGGGTGTTCACGTGGGGTGGTTGTGTGTAGTGTTTATGTGGTATTTATGTGAGGGATGTGTGTGGTATTTATGTGGGTATATGTGTGGTGTTTATGTGGGGTATGTGGGTGGATGTGCTTATGGAGGAGGGCAGGGACGTCCGCCTGGCAGCAGGGGGCATAGCTGTGTCAGGGGCTCCAGTGGGGACCATGAGCAGGTAAAGGCCTAGGTACCCGAGGATGGACAAAGGAAGGCTGTGGGAGACAGACCCAGAGAAGGAGATGGAAAGAGATCAGAGAGGCCACTTCCGCTGGGGCCCGGGGGGGTGGTTTGCACTCAGTTTCAAGCAAGCTGGCAGCTGTGAGCACGCTCCCATGGGCTGGGCAGTGGAAGGTGTCCCTCTGTCCAGAGGGCTCTGTAGCCGCATGGGGCAGCTCTGTGGGCTCAGCCTCCTCTGGAGGAGGAGTGGAGGGGGCATGCTCATCCTGCTGTGGCCCAGATGTCACCAGACCTGTGTTTGCTTTTTCCAGGGGTTCCCTCTGCTTGTAAGCAGGTCGTAAGCGTGGAAACAACGAGAGACATTGAATGGGCTACATACACCTGCACTTTGGGGTTCCATGTCTTTGGTAGGTTTTCTGCAGATTCTTTGGTTCAAACGTAAGACAAACCCGTTGTAGAATATTTCTCGAATAGCTTTGAAACCCTGTAGTCACCAGTCTCGTCAATGGCTCTGCTGCTGCACAAACCTGACAGACATGCTCCCTGAGCTCCAGGGGGTGGGGGTGGGGGTGCTGCAGGCCACGGCCGGGTGGGGAGAACCAGAGATGGGGGCCCTTTTAGCCTTCTTCTGCTGTAGGAAATGGGCCCTGAGATGGTCCTCTAGGATCTCCTCCTGTCAGGCTGTGTCAGCTTAATCAGATGAACCAGGGGACACTGAGTCATTTGCCTGAGCCTTTGTTAGGGTTTTGTTTTTTTTGGGGGGACGGGCTGTGGTCCTTACACTGAATATTTCACTTCCTTCAAAATTCAGATTTAGCACATACTCGTAAATGACCTAAACCAAACAGCCACAATTTAGTAGACTAGAAAGAGAAGGCTGTACTTGTAACCGCTTTTTGTAAGACCGTAACTCAGTAAGCAGGCGTCTCAGTCATCTCGTGCTGCGCTAACAGAAATACCCCAAGCGGATGGCTTTAACAAAGAGAAGTTTATTCTCTCACAGTCCAGTAGGCTAGAAGTCCAAATTCAGGGTGTCAGCTCCAGGAGAAGGCTTTCTCTATCTGCTCTGGAGGAAGGTCCTGGTGATCCATCAGTCTTCCCTTGGTCTGGGAGCTTCTCAGCGCAGGAACCTCAGGTCCAAACGATGCACTTTGCTCCCGGCACTGCTTTCTTGGTGGTGTGAGGTTCCCATGTATCTCTGCTCACTTCTCTTTTATATCTCAAAAGAGATTGGATTAAGACACTATTAATCTTGTAAACCTCATCAGCATAACCTCATCACAGTGATAGAATTTACAACACATTAAGGAGATCCCGTATAACCTCATCATAGTGATAGAGTTTACAACAGATAAGGAAATCACATCAGATTACACAATCATATAATACCGGGAATTGTGACCTAACCAAGTTGCTACACACGTTTTTTGGGGGACACAATTCAATCCATGATAGCTGGTAAGAATTTCACAAGTCTCCTTGGAGCTGGCATTTTGCCATTTTCTGGTGTCAGATGTCTGGGTTTTCTTCCATAACTACCAGATGAGAAAGTGATGTGCATTCAACCCTCCCATGTCCAGAGTTATTGGGACCAGAGGATGTTCCAGACACTGGCCAGCAGACACCACCCCAACCTGCTCCAGGCCCACCTGGGCACAGAGGCCCCCAGCCGGCAGTAAAGGACGGGGCTGCAGGCACAGCCTACCAGCCAACACCAGGAAATACTCAGCAGTCACACACAGACCCACCGTTCACAAGTCCTTGGAAAGATGCTCACATGCAAAAAGTTACCCAAAAAAGTTAGGATACTGGCAGGCATGGAGACTAGTCAGCCTCCCACAGGGTGCTTGGGGGTACAGGACAGGCCACGGTGCCCAGGACCAGGGCTGCTGGCTCTCTTTCCACTGTAGCACCAGGAAGGGGCCTGTGAGGGACGGGGGCCACATGGAGCCTGTCACTGCATCTCCCCGTGTTGAAGGGTTTCCTGAGAATGGCAGCACCAGGAGAGGCTGGATGCTGAGGCCAGGTGTCCTTGACCCTTGTTTCTGAAGGCCAGCATCTAAGGCTGTTGCTCTCCACGGGGCTCAGTGGCCAGGCCCTGTTTGGTGTGGCCCCGTGTGTCAATGGAGCTCAGCGGTGTGGCCCCGTGTGTCCGCGGAGCTCAGCGGTGTGCGCCC